CGATTTTCATCTTCCCTTAGTACCTTAACGCTCACACTGTTGTTCACTGGTGCTAATGTGGAGGTGAGGCATTTTCAGGAATCAGTCGTTAGTATCCTGCTGCACATGCGCTAAATTTCCTCTGTGCTGAAGTCGAACAAGTTCTTGGAAATGGCCCTTAATGTTTCACAATCAGTGGTATTACTGAGTTAATCTTTTTTGCACGAGTATTCAACGTGCTGGGAAGAAGTTGTGGTGGTGGCTATCACCGCAACGCGCGAGGTCTACGAGACTAGATCATTTTAGGCCACACGCTAGGCCATCCACCACTCAAAGCGCCAGGCCAATTAGGCTATGCCATCTTTGGTCATGGTCTAGACCATCCACCTCTCAAAGCGCCAGGTCCATGGGGCTATGCTATTCTCGGCCAAATGATTGGCCATCCAACGCACTTAGCGTCTGGTCCATCGGGCTATATCAGTCTGAGCCATAGGCTTCATATTTAGCTGTGTCAAGCAAAGGGTGCTACTAACTGAATGCGTGTCACGTTTTTCACTAATCGACTGCAAGTTCTTCATTTGAATATGTTCTTTGCTGAGGTGTTTTATTCCGTTAGGTCATATGTGGCGGTTCGCGCCATCGCTTCCATTTTCTGATTGCGTTTCATGTCATGGCCGATTTATTTGAGTTCTTAAGAAATGTTGAAGGACGTCCCACAGGACAGCGATGAGGCAGTTGTTGCTGGTGAAAAACGGTTGGTCTGACGCGAAAACAACGTTTTGACACTGTAGTCGAGGTGGAAAGTGCCAGTGAAATCGGTGCTAGCCGTAATAGCTGGAATCTGTGATGAACAATAATCATATGTGCGTAGAGCTCCTTAGACTGCTGAACAGCAAGAGGCAGCGAATGCTGAGCTCCGGAATAAGAAAGCCGTGCAGCCTCCTCAGCCATTTGATGCAAGGAACTTAGCACTCAGGTGGCGAAAGCCGAGATTTGAACCCGGCCCTTCTGATTGCCGGTCATGTGTGCTACCATTACACCACGGAACTCGGGATGTTATGCCTCTCAATGTCATCCCAATCATTACAGTTGTTTGTCGCAGCGAGCACTGTCAGGCTGTACATTTTGATGTAGGGAGAAGGCATTTGTTTCGCGACGTAAAAATGCTCCTGCTGCAACTCATACTTTAGCACCAGTGAGCATCACTTTCAGAACCTAAGGGTAATGAGGTGGTGAGGCATTTTCTGGAATTAGTCGCTAGCATTGTGCCGCGCATGCTCTAAAGTCCCTCTGTGCCATCGAACAAGTTTTTGAAAATGATTAGTACTGTTTAAGGATAATTAGTGTTTTACCATATGCTAACGCTAATAGCCCATGAGCTAATCGGCGATATAAGAGTATTGAATGTGCTTGGGAGACGAAATCAGCAAAGTCGTCTTGAGTCTTATGAAAACGTGTTAAACCGTTCACAATGAACGATTGTGGCAATCAGCCGGAATATCATGATGATGGTATTTGAGAACAGAATCTCCAAGAAAATGTAATGATGCGGTTAAGTTCCGAATGGGTAATGCGATGAACAGAGGATTGTCAAGGAGACATTATGCTCAAAATAGACTATTCAAATTTCCACCTACTAGACGGCCAGTGTAGCGGCCGCAGGCCGCTAGTAACACTTGAAAGAGGTAACCCGACAGGAGACTCCAGGTTCTTCTGGCCTGGGGGTCTGATGAGACATATCGAAGTTGCCTTGCTCGCATCTCGGTAGATTGACTTACGCTGTGATGTCACTTTCGAGAATGACAGTGTGTTAATCAGGCTGCGAGGGTGTATCTATCTCTCCTCCTGCATGAGGGATAAATCTTGAGGTGATGCCAGGCATGTATCTCCTTTATTAGACAGAATGTGTTGTGTCATCCAAGTACTTAACTCGAGTTATGAGTTACTCGGAATTACCCATCTCTGGGATGGGTACTTCCGCACTTAAAGGAGTACCTTAGAAAGGCACTTAAAGGAGTACCTTAGAGTACTACTCAATATTAGCACGCTTTCGGGCTCAGGAAAAGGACGCAATGCCCAAACGTTGAAAATGTAATGCTGCCACAACGTGACACTATGGGATTTTCAACGGTGGTCTGTGTTTCTTTTCAACTTTGCGGCAAAATTGATTCCATTTTTTACGCACGATTATGGCAAAATTTCTGCGTTGAACAATCTGTTCTCGCTCAATGTTGACTCGACGTTGTTACGCCGAATGGGTACGCTCTCCAATGATAGAGAATTGCCACATAGGATATCGTTACGGTTGAAATTGTATGTATGTTGTGCTTGTTTTTTCGGTCTCAGTACGTCTTAGTTTTGTCCCTATGGGTCTTTACGGACCTATAAGTACTTCTTATCCGAAATTTTCAGGGTTATAATTTCCTGAGGTAAATAATTCCCTCATCATGCCACAAAAATGTACAAGAGAAACAGCTACAAAAAGACATATTGTCGATGAGTATTAAAGAAAGCGAATAGCGCGTGTTCGTCATCTGATATCGGTTCCTCTCAAGTACTGTACCGAGTACCGAAGCCGAAAGTTCCCGCGTACGCAGAGCAATTGTGACTTATTCCGTATGCGATCAACGGTAAAGGAAGACATTTGACATGGGCTGGGCCTTGGCGGCAGTTCCCAAGTGCGTTTAACCATGATTCCTCTTCATTGAGAATTATTTTCTCCAGGAATCATTATCCAGTGAACAAAATCGAAATTTACCTACTAAAAGCCCCGTGTGTACACGGTCTTTCGACTACTCTCCTATACGTGGTATACAGTGGGGCGTGTAAATAGAAGGGTTGACGAAAGGAAATACATGCGGAACTGCTTATTGATTCATTTATCATGAAATCTTTTTCTGGATCTTGAAAGCTAGAATGGCACCTTTCCTCTTGCGAGAACAGCTCAAAATATTAACGCATGGTTTATTTGACTGAAAAGGTAGGGCCTATCGGAGAGGAAGAATCAATAGCGGGAATTCAATTGTCCAACGCAATGATCAATTTCATTTGCATCTGGAATCGCAATAACAGGCGCGAGCGAGGAAATGCTTTTATCCATTTGTTTATATTATCTCAAAATGAACTTGAGGATAGCTTTTTAAAAAATTGAAGTTTATTTAGTAAATTGGAAGCCTCTAATATAACCTGTACGTTGCTTCGCTTATAACCTGTCAGTAGAAGATCTTTCGCTTCATTGGTTTCTTAAATGTTGATATCCGGTCCCCATTTACCACTAACTTTAATCCGCATTTCTCGTTATTGTCTATATGAACAATTTGCCAAGACGATGCTGAGAAAAGGATACTAGGAGGTACGAAACCCCTCATGTTTATCGGTGCTTTGCAGCGAGACAGTCTGAACGTTATCTCTGTTATCGGACGAATTCGCCTCACTGGTGCTCTTTTGTGAATACATGCGACGAGGCCAAGGAGGCCGTATGGCGTTGCAAACATCCGTAAGGGAATGATGTTCTCCATGCCTGAAAGACTACCACATTGAACTAGGGATGATATATGTATATTCTCTTAGTTGCTTTCAAGTCAAATCGCCAAAGACTAAACTATAAATTTACCTAACCCACTAAAATATCACTCGGACTTCAGTTCTCTCTCATAATCCATGACCGTGGTCACTAAAGAGTTCTTTGACAACTCTTACAATCCCAGCCAAAATTATCTCCATCTTCTTTCATATATTTGCAGGGAATTCAAGATACACAATAACACGAGACCTTTGAAGCTCCCTGTAGAAATTCTCGGGGACCTAACCCTGCAGTCCTTATGGATAGGCGACACTACTGTGACAAACATACAACCGTCGTTCATCCTCCCTTCCGAGGATCGTCTTGTGAATTTCACCTTACAAGACAGTCGTCTGAAAGAGTTTCCCTTCCACATCATCCAAGGATTACGGAGTCTCAAGAAACTCTGGCTTCGGAACAATTCCTTGACCTCAGTTCCTGGTCTCCACAGCCACAGCCTCGAGATATTGGACTTGGATTACAATAAGATTGTTGCTATTGAGGAAAATGGATGGCATACTCCTAACTTGCGGGAACTCGGCATCGGTAAGTATGCGGCCAATGCTGCAATTCGATGAATGCCTTCCTGGGATTGTCCATATTCCATGAGATAACCGTTTCACCTCTTCCATATAATTGAATAACTACTAAAAAGACGGAAAAGCAACTTCCTCGGCATAGGACGGTTACTGCCGAAAGTTACTCCCTATAAAAGCCTACCTTTTATCCCAACCTATATTACTTATATATTTCCTATCTCAAACAGGTTACAATCCGCTTTCGAGTCTTCCGTCCGCAGTGATCAAGGGTCTGGGAAAACTCGAGAAATTCTATTGTTCAGGGTGCAATCTGGGACCCACCCTCTTGATGGGGCAGTTGGAATTCCGCAGCAAGACCTTGAAGGTGGTGTCACTCTGGAACAACAATATCTCACGACTTGAACCGGGAGCTCTTACAGGTATATTTACCAGTCAAATTTCATAAGATGACAATTGGGGTGTTTGGAAAACCTTCATTAAATTGGGTGTTGTGCAAAGGCTGTCATATTTATTGTATATATTTCAGGCGTCAATGGTGAGACGACTGTTTACCTAATCCGGAACAACATCACTCTATTGGAAGAAAGTGCCTTCCGACCCATCCTGGAGAACATGTCCCTGGGAGATGGATTGCTCGATATAGAGTGTAGGTTTTATTTATTCTCAAAATCCTGAGAAAATTTCCTGGTGCATCATCATTTTATAATATCATTGCCCACATGTGCTTTTTTTCTCTAGACAATCCCATCCACTGTGATTGTACTTTGGATTGGCTGACACTCAGAGGACCTAATTACTTCTTGAACTTTCCCTGCACACGGTTACCCTGACTTAACTCTATGGACTTAGACCTTTTTAACGTCTCTTGAACAACGGCTGTAGGGTTGTGCACGCAGTTGCGGCTTAATTTGTCTCATTGTATACCAAGGAGAGAAATTCTCTCAATGTACTCGTTGACGGCATACCTCCTTAACACAACACTTAAATATTTTTGTTGCTGTAACTTACGGGAACTTTGTTGATGATCAGGAAGCTCAGGACCATTCAAACGTGACTAAAGTTTAATTATCGTCTGCGTTATCTTCATTCAAACATACCTACTAGCATTTAACATGTTAGCTATCCCACATCGATCGACCATTGCTTATAACCGTCTCATTCACGGCTCATATGAACTCAACGCAAAAATTTGCCACACATTAGAAAACAGCAATCTTCAAATCCAGACACCGATACGGAGGCAGACGCAGTCATGAATCTGATATAACACCGGCATGATATCCAGCGAAGCTAGGGTACGGGACGGAGCTATCACATAAATGAACGAGAACTAATTTTTATTTTTTATGGCGAAAAGGCGCATCACAAACAAGAATGAATGCCTTCCCTTCAAGGACAAGTCTCATGAAGTCAACTAAGAAAATGAACCATCTTTCCTCTATCCTCCAGGTCAACATTTTCTTAAGACTCCTTTGGCTGGGGTACCTTGTTAGACCCATATATTGATGAATTCATGTCTTCTTCTGTGATGTCTGTGTGGGGGAAATATCGGGAACCTCAAGGAAAGTATTAATACTAGAGACTAGTTCCAGTTGTATAAGGTACTGTCTCGCTATAACGGGTCCTTTGGCGTCTTGCGGGACTAGCGTTGATTCCCTGCATCTTTTTTTTTCTAGCCACTGTCAGATGGACAGTTATGCTCACGAAAAGAGCCTTTTTAACAATCAGTGAACGTCCTTGAAGAACATAATTTTTGATGATCATACGACTCCTCTTATTCGAGTCCAAAAGATGCTCATCCCTCAACCTAGAACGTCATAAGTTTTTTCGAGTCGGCGTTGAGCGTCTTCCTGAACGTTCTTGTGTAACTTGGGCTTGTCCGCTGCCAGGTCACTCCAGCACCACTCCCAGTTTCAGTTTTCCTGAACGTTACTTGTTCGAATGTGTTCATTTCTCATGCATGAGCGAATGTAATTATCGCACTCTTTATTTTGCCAGGTGAAATAGGTCGGCCAGATACAAGCTTCACCGAAACAGCCTTTATAGCAGCGGCTTCTCTCGTAGTTTTATTAATCGTGATTATCATCATTGTCTGCATTTTCTACATCCGATTACGGAAAGAGCAAGTGAGCCATCTTTATTGGGTAGAGTTTCATCACCATGTTATTTGCTGTATCTTGTGTTCGCAAACCTTGCAGGTTCGCAAGATTGCATTTCCAAAGAAAGAGACAGAGCGATTTCGAAGAGGAAAACCGATGAACATCAATCCCACAGTGTGCCTCAGTGAACAAGCAGATCTGCCATATGACAAGCACTGGGAATTCCCAGCGGAGAGGCTACGACTAGGTATGACCCCATTCTCGAATAGAATCGCCTTGACAAGTAGCGATTTCAATTGTGGATACAATCTTATTAGGGGAGGTGCTTGGCTGGGGCGCATTCGGGACAGTCATCAAGGCCGTGGCTCGGGGTATCAGTCCCTCCGAGCCTGAAAGCACAGTTGTTGTGAAGAGAAGCAAGCCTCACTCTGACCACGCGCATTTCAAGGAGCTGATAATAGAAATGAAGATGATGAGTCACCTTGGAAAACACCTGAACGTGGTGAATTTCCTCGGAGCTTGTTCAGGAAATATGGATTCTGGTGAGTTTCATCTTTATTTATTAAGCAATATAGCAAAAATTATTCACATTTCAGTTTCCAGAACGTCAGGAATTACAAGGTAACAAATATGCTCTCTCTTTATATTTTAAAGTGTATAGTTCTCAATTGAGCGCTGCTTACAATATTTAATTTACCGTATATTACCAAATTGCTGAGTCCTTGGCTTTACCTTCTGTCCAGGTTTGCTGAAGGACTTATGGATTTAACATTGACGGAACGAAGAGGTACGATAGTGGTTTTCCATAAGAGGGTCACTCTCATGCTAACGTCTTGAAGATTCTGGGAACCAAACAATTATCACACGGGAGTCTTAGTCTGACTGTGAAGCGTTGTATGGAGTCTTGGAGAACAGATGACTGACGAAAAAGCGGTCTTTCTGACACTGTTCGGGCGCCACTGCTGAAAAAGAAAGTGATTTGTCGTGTGAGGCAGAATTGAAAATTGGTCAATGAGGATGTTGCATGCTGAGGTTAAGATTAATCGGATATTAAAGCAGCTGGTCACGAGAGACCTTTGCATGCGTCCCTAATAAGAGTCCATTCATCCCGGACTAGCATCAGCTACCCGACGCAAAAGACTCCACCAAAGCGAAAGACTGTTTGAACTGTTCACTAACCACGATGGTAAGCTTATCCTCTCCTTGAATGAGAATATATTTTCGACGAAGCATAGCTTCTCCTCACAAAACATACACCTGCAAAGTACCAGCTTAGCGGAGATACCATCAGAGCTGAGAATCGTTTCTGGGTAGCAGAAGGCTGGCAACATGGATTGGGCTGTGATTTCAACAAATGACCGCGCAGAACTGGTTTTCGTCCTAGAAGGAGTCAAAATGAACAGGCAAGGGTGCCGCGACCTGATTTAGGAATCCATCGCAACGCACTGCACTTAAAACGTTTTCAGCAACCAAAACTGAATCTCTCATCAAGATTCTACTTCAGCCCACTCTGCCAAAGAGACTCAGTAATTGTCGGGGCGCAAGAAGCCAGACCTCGTCATGTGAACTAATTGGCCCCCATCATCTCAATCCCTTAGACTTCTTCTTATGGTCACTCTTGGGGCAAAAGTCTGCCCTCGCCCATACACGAATGTTGGGTTTCTGAAGTTTCTTCTTCTTCTTCAAAGAAGGAGATTCCTCAAGAAACTCCGCGCGATGCAGTCCTCGAATGGTGGCCCCCGTCGTTCTAAAACTATTGTGGGGGCAACTAGTGAACATTTTGAGTAGTCCTGTGTTTAAAACTCACCTAATGTGTAGCTGAGCATTTATTAATTTGATCTTTCTTGAACCTTTAGTATTGGTACCGAGGGAAAAAGCTGACGGGACAGAACTTATTTGTCATGATGTAATTATTTGTCCCACCAAAAACATATGTTGACTTTTCTTGCAGGTGATCTAATGGTCATCTTGGAGTACTGTCGGCATGGGAATCTGGAGCGTTTTCTGAGAAAATATCGACCATCCTTTAAAAATGGAATTGACCATCACACTCTCAATAAATTCAGGATTGGGAAAGAATGCCTTCACTCCGACGCTCACCAGCTCCCAGGTATTAAATTTGGTAATTCCAGAATTGCAACAAATTGGGTAAACTTTCATTCAACATGAGAATTTTCACAAAAAATGTTCCACCTTACCACGGTATACTTCTAGTGAAAAGGAGGGGAATGTGAAATCGTAGTAGTTCCCATGGTACTCACGGCTCAGTTCGAATCAACCGAGAACGTCAGTAGGACTTACTTCCACATGATAACATAATTTCATAATTTCAGAAGCTTCTACCATTACGTTCACTTTTAGCTCCGATTCTTTGATTCTTCTCTCGAGTTTCAAGCAATAATCCGTGTTTAAACATTTGTTGCAATCTATCCCACCTTCTTTCTGATCTTGATTCCATCGCTTCAGACTCAAATTTGCAGGCCAGTAGCCTCAAAAAGCGGGAAATCCCACACCGTATTACTTTTTGCACAAATTTAATCAAACTTGGGTTTTTCCATTTGGAACTGTAGTAATAGGAAACTAATGTTCAACTAATGCGCACCTCATTGAAATAATTCATCATGCATCGCCACACATGAAACTGAATGAGCAAATATTTAAGTAACAAAATTCCAGGAGGAGAACATGGACAAGGAATGGAAACGACAATCAGGAAGAAAGTGGAAACTTCCAAAGAGATTAATCTCCTTGTGTCTTTCACTTATGGCGATCTGGTGTCCTGGGCATACCAGATATCTCAAGGCATGGAGTACCTGAGTTCCAGGAAGGTGTGTTATTTCCAAAGCACAATTATTAACCGCCATTCTGGCCTGGAGAAAATGCGCGAACTAATACCAGATCGGTGAATATTTTCAAGGTTTTCCAACTACAGTAAAACCAGGAATACTTAGCACGAAACTTTTTCCCATTAAAGCCCTTTGCCTATTAATCCTAATTCCGGCATCATGCAGGCGAAATTTTCAAGACAATGAAAAAAGTGAATACAATTCATTTTTACCATGCATTATTGCCTCATGCATACAAACACCAAGCGTAGCTGCAATTCGAATACCATCGAGAAATCGTAAAGCTCAGAATAAAAAACAACAAAGGACGCACTTCCATAGAGACCTTGAAGAGAACCTAAATGAATGGTAGAAAGTACTTTATTTCATTTAAGATAGTCCATCGAGATTTGGCGGCTAGGAACATTCTCCTAGCAGAAGAAAACATCGTGAAGATATCAGGATTTCGCTTTGCCAGAGATACCAATGTAAATAATCAGTACATCAAGGAAGGAGATGTGAGTTCCTTACATACACATTTCCTTTTTCAATCAATTGATGGAATATTAACAGAGTCCCTTAACCTAAATCTTCCAGGGTCCTGTACCTTACAAATGGATGGCTTTGGAATCACTCATCCATGGGCAGGTTTATACAAGCAAGTCAGATGTTTGGGCTTACGGAATAACACTCTGGGAGATTTTCGGCCTTGGAAAGACTCCATATCCAAACATGAAATTTGGCGAAGTCATCCAGCGCCTGGAAACCGGCTATCGCATGGAGGCTCCTGATTACGCCAATGAATCTATGTGAAATGCCTAATATCCTTACCCCGCAATACAAACTGAATTTTTCCTTTTTTTAAATTACCACTTCCTGCGTCCTTCCTGTACAGCTATCAAATCATGAGGAAGTGCTGGGATGCGGATCCAAATGATCGACCTACATTTTCTGTGCTGAGTGTATGGTTTGCCACTATGATGCCAAAATCTGAACATCAAGTACATATTGATTTCATACCGGTACCAAACACAATGCTATACCCAACAAAATGTCATCCATTGTTTCACTTTGTTTTTCTGCAGCGCATTTTGGGGATGAATAAGCCATACGAGGAAATGAACGCCGAATACTTCAAAACGCATCCAGACTACTTGCAACTGATGGCACCTGGAGGATTCGAAGAGGGATACCTTGAACCACGTGGAATCCTGCATTTACAAAAGGGATCATCTGCGTCCAACCCAGACAATACCATTCACGAGTACTTCGAAATCGATGAGGATTTCAAATCTAAAATCACTAAGAGCGTACCAAGGGATGAAATACGCGGAAGCCAATTCCCAAGGATGCAAACAAATGAGCTTTGGGGCGATACCCACGTATCGCACGGGAACCAGAGCAAAAAAACCAAGCCATCAACTTGGATTCAAAATAGTAACTGTATTTGAACTGAAGTTGTTTGTCTAAACAATGACTCGCCATTTGGATTGAAAATGACCATAGAAAGGCACGAAGAGTTCCGACGTAATCCTATCATGATTATGAGTTTGAAATGATTGCACCACAATCTCGAGAATCCTTCGAACTTCTGGTTTCCTACACAAATATTTTTTTTAAATGGAAATTCATTTCCACGATTGATTGTATCCTCGTTTACTATACGCTCCTACTCCATGAATCCTTTTCCAATGGACACCCTACCTGTCCCACGATTCCATGCTGCTACGTTTGGTTGTGTTGACTGGTCAGGAATTAACAAAAATAAAATCACAGATTCTGGGGTGAAACCATAATCATCCTCACAGAAGAAGGTGAATTCTCAAAAATAATTTTCGGATGCCTGGAAAGTGTTTTTTTGTGGAAAATGTGCTACTCCTGAGGTCCTTCTTCCACTGGACTATCGAAAAGTCTGTATAAACAAAGAATGTCGAATGAGTGAGAAAATCTACATAAAAAGTGCCTGTTTTAAATTTTCTGTGAGCACTTTGTGTAATAGCCAAAGATGGCGATTTCTTGTCAGTCCTGAGTGCCTGTCTGAAAAAATATGCTGTACATTTTAAAGCAAAAGTTACTTTTAAAGATCTCCGAAGATGGAATTGATTCAAGCCAGCAGCTTAAGTATTTCCATAACCTAACCTAACCTAACCTAACCTTTTCAAACCCTTCATATTGCAGTCTAAGTGGCATTTTATTACTCTGCAAATGACACCCTTTCAAATGATATATGTTTCGTTGATTTCGGTTTAAGGACCAAAATTGCATTATATTGGGCATACTCATTTCTACTATATATACAACATGGTTTTAATTAGCATTATTCAGTCAATTACTCACTCGGTCACGATCGTTTAAATTCCCTACATCTTCAGCAGAGAAAAAGTGCACTCTGGAAATGTGCGTTGGAAATACACAATTTCATCTTACTGTTCTCGTTTATTTTCGCTGTAGCAGAAATAACATTCAAAAACATTCATCCCCCCTTTAAAAAAAAATTGTATGTCATATATATTTTACTGAAGGGCTTGTGTCTTAAAAGGGCTTTTTCCTGAACTCAAGAACCTGAAAGCTACTACTTTACCAAGTTGGTCTAAATCATATCTAGAACACTGTTAGAATCAACGTAAGTCACTCACGTAGTCAATCGTGATTGCCTATACCAGGGTCTTTTCATGTTTTTCCTGCATGTTCTGGACCACGTGATAGTGGTCAGTGAGATTGTGCTCTCCTCAGGGCAAGAATTGGTCCTAAATACAGGTATTAAGAAGCTGGCGTGACTCGTCATTGCTATCAGTTTCAGCGTAGCACTGTAGCTAGAAGAGCGTTAGTCCTGCTTCTCTTGGAAGGGCAGAAAAAAAAAACAGAAAAACGTTAAATTAAACGTCTTTCTGGGAAAATCCCCAAAAGGGATCCATGATCTCAAGGGTGAAGCTCTGGGAGTCCGTGTACCTTCGTATGAAATGTTGCGTTGGTGGATGAATGATATTCGTTCCGGACGTGACAGTGTAAGGCCCGACGCGAACGCCGACCAAACCCCAGGAACATCAAAGAAGAATCCCGCGAGAAGTTTCGAAGTATGCAAAAAATGGGGCAAGAGGGAATAAAGTCAGTCCTAATGTCCGGAGTGCCACGTTGGGCTACGCTCAGCACCTTGTTTCAAGAAGTACCGCATCAACTACTGCTTCAAGGTAGATGAACAAATATGTTTGTACCAAAGTATAACTTAATATTTTCTTAAGTTATTAACAAAAATAAATGTTAAAAGTAACTGCTTGCGTTATTTCCGGATTCTATCCCATAAGCGAAACGCAGCTGAGACGCATGGAACCTATATCTGAGAGAATGCATCTCACTGTACAGACATAGGTTAGATATTAAGTGTGTGTTGTGTCTTTTTGCAGAGCTGCATGCTTCTTCCGTACGCCATTCTCAACCCTGCACAAGGCAAAATGGATGCTAATGATGTCCAAGGTTCTTCTTTCGCAATTTCCGAAAACTTGTTTATTTCCGAGTTTCTCTAAAATGAATAATATATAAACTAGTGGTATGTAAAACCTGCTGCAAACCGGAGGAAAGGAAATACTCTGTTGTCGTGGAAGGAATCACCATGATCCTCAGAGACTACCACCGAAGTGGGAGCCGAATGTGTTCAATGAACGGGTTCAAATGAAAATATTCCGATCCTTTCCTAAATGTCATTGAATTCTGAGACGGTCAAGGACAGGCGACTTTAGGTGGGATGATCGACCTCTAAGCGAATGTACGTCGGAATGTCGAAAGCAGAAACGCAGAAAGGTAGTAATGTCGAAGGACAAGAATGTAGATGCCATAAAATGTCGCTTATGCTAAATGTCGAATGGAATGGAGCCAGAGTTCTAAAACATCGTCGAATGTCGAAAGGTATGATTTGTACTCGAGTGATCACCCTGTGGGAATGTGCAATCATGACTTAGTTGAACGATGAGCTTCAGGAAATGAGGGACTGGTGGAGTGCTTTGAACTGTCTGCGGATATACGAGGGGGGTTCAAAAAGTTTCCAGCCTAAGGGGTAAGATGAAGTCTGAAGAACGCGAATGTTATTTCATTTTTCGACATGATCTCTTGAAACAACAATGCATTTTTGCTTGCGTGATTCCAGCTTTAGAAGTGAATTTAAAAAATTCTTATTTTTGGTCTTCATACCAACTGTCAATGACCATCATGACGTCATCTCTACTGAATGTACAATGAATTACAAATTTTCTTTCGAAAGAGGGAAGAGGTAAAAATCAAAGGGAGTCAGATCAAGGGAATAAGGAGGGTGGGGAAGCAATTCGAATCCACATTGGCGGAAAGCAGCGTTTGCAACCATGAGAGGCATGACCTGGTGGATTGTCCTGGAGAACTAACACACCCCGGCGAAGGTTCCCTCGACGCTTCGTCTTGATTGCTTCTCTCAGCTTCAAAAGCAGTTTGGCGTAATAGTCACCCGTTATGATCCTTCCATGTTCCAGGTAGTCATGTAGCAAAATGCCATTTGCATTCTAGATGACATAGGTCATGACCTTGCCTACTGAGGTGATAACCTTGAATTTTCAATGGCTGGTGAATCTAGGTTTTTCTGCTGAAGAATTTGGTGCTTAGTTTCGGGATGGAACTGGTGAACCAACGTTTCATCATGAGTTACGACCCTAAGTAGAAAGTCGACTGAATCTGCCTGGTAGCGCTCAAGAAGCTGCATCGAAGCTTGCTGGTGATGTTGCTTCTGTTCTGGGTTCAAGATTCTGGTCATCCATCTTACACTTTCTTCATCTGGAGGTTGTTCTTTTATATAGATTCTACACTACTAGCACTACTCTGTAGGGTCGTAGCAATGTGCGTAATGGTCATTCGACGTTCTACATACACCATAGTCTCCACACGGTCAACATTCTCATCAGAAATTGAAATTGTTGGTCTCCCTGACTGTGACTCATCATCTGTGTTCTGCCTGCCCCGTTTGAATGCAGCGACCCGAATTTTCACTATGCTATTGGAGATAGCATTGTCCCCTAAAACAGTCACTTTCTCCATGGATTTCCTTTGCGGTTATGTTTTTCAAATGCAAGAATTTAATCATTGCACGAAGTTCAATTTTTTCCATTTTTCCAAAACATGAGAGCCACCTCACTTTCAAAACCTATGGAAAAAGGAAAGTACTAGCTGGGTGACCGAACATGCTAGTTTTCCCCTTGAAATTGGATGGAGAATCTGGGGGAAAAGCAACGTTGCGCTAATTGTTCATCTTCAAGTAGTTTTTACGAATGAAATATAATGAGTTGAAATTGGCAAAGTAGCTCATGCGATATGGGGTCTCTATAGGGGAAGTTTCGTATTCTGAGTCTGCCGAGGACAAGAGGCTTCTGGCAAGTGCAGTGTGATTCATCATTCTTTTTAAGTTAGAAACACCAAGTAAGCATATATCTATCCAAAAGACCAGTGAGTTTCATACCGTGAGTTCCCAGTCACTGGTGTAAACCAACTTTGGAAAATTTTCCTCGTGTGTCGGACTAACAGCCCCAACGAGATACTCTTGGAGATATGCATTGTAATTTTAAAAGGGCATGAAAGCATAAGCGGAAACGTCTTATCTCGCACGAACAGACTCCGTCAAAGAACCTCACGAGATAAGGTAACCTCTTTTCCCTCGAGGGAAACGGAAAAAAGGACAGCGAAGCTGGATTCTAGGAAAGTCGACTTCAAACTCCAGACCCTTCAGAGCCAGCAGTTCTTTTCTGGTGAGTTCCAAGACATATTCGGGAAATTTTCAGTCTGGAAAGAAAATAGGGAAGTAAAATTACCTGTAGAAAGGAGGGGATTACTTTCCGGTAATGTACAAGTAACTTATCCATAATTTAAAGTAATTTACCCTAATTTACAAGTAATTTACCCTAATTTACAAGTAATTTACCCTAATTTACAATTAATTTACCGATATTTCATCATTGTATTACCACTTGGTTACAGGTTACGGTCCCAAGAAATAAATGTATAATTTTCTCTAAGGGAAAGTTCCAATATTCTCTTCTGCAGCTCTGGAAAGCAAAAATATGTTACTTATGTAGTCTGAATAGAGATAAGCCTAAGCAGAGGAGTTTAGGGATATGGAAACAGACGTTGCTGCTGGATATTTTAATTTTTTTTGCATACAGAGCTTTAAAATAAGGGGGAAATCTGGAATGGGGGGAGGTTAAGGCAATATATTCAAATATCTGAATGATAGGCCATATATGTCTAAACCTGATTCTTATAAGTTCTTAAATGCATACAAAGCAAGTTAAGAAGCGAAATTCTATTCATTATTTGCATGAAGTTAATCATGAAGTAACTACTGAAGAAGAACCGGAAATTTGATTGCAGTCAAAACAGAATCACCTTTAATCATTTTTATTAAAACCTTGGAAATAGCCCAAATGTTAGTTGCACTTATCATGAATGATCAGGTGTGTGAAGGTGATTTATTTAAAGCAGCTTGCTGCTTTTGAAAAAATTAAATTGTGCATTGTATGGAAAGTAGTGAAAGTTTTAATTGGTGCAAGAATGAGGCCTTCAAGAAAACTTTGGGAACTTCGATTAATTTATGAAGTTTGATGCAGAATGCTATAGAGCAGGGGTGTCAAACTGGTGGTGGCCCATGGGCTGAATCCAGTCTGCCAGTCCATTTTGTCCACTTCAACAGATGGTTATGGAAATGAACTGCAAATTTTAGCCTGTTTGCATTAAAAAAAAGATGTTACATTTTTCTTGTGGCCCCTAATCACCCCTGAAGGCTTCCATCCGGTCCCCAGTCTAATCGAGTTTGACACCCCTGCTATAGAGCACTAAGTTCAACATTCTATTCCCCTAACTAAACCAAAACCTAACCAAAAAGCAATTCGATCGTTGATCACCTGTACTCGACCGTCTCAGAAGTCATTGAACTTTTAAAATTTTAGTAATCAGAAAACCTAAACAGCCATGATTTGGGGAGCTGTGGACTACCCTAGTAATGTTCAGGCTGTGTTGGTTTATTCTGCAACGGTCACACGTATGGTCATCACAACTACTACGACGCAGTCGGACCTGTATTACTTAGAAATATTTTATTTCGACGAACGTGAATGTCGCAATTGCATGCTATTCATTCGAAGCAATCAATTTTTTTTACTGATTTAGGGCTGCTTAAAAATACCGTACAACTGGACTGATCAAAATATGGTACTATTTCCAAGAAAGAATTGCCGAATAAATAAATAAAAGTTTTTTTATATCTGTCGGTATGAATACCTGAAAAACATCTAGTCTTACTTGGCTGCGGTTATGTACAAAAGTATACTTCCCTTCCTGCAGGAATACTAGTCCTACTCATGTGGATCCACTTTCTTCACCTAAGAAGACAGAACTAAGACGAGAACCGACGCAACAGACCATTTTCGGCCGTCCGCCGAAATCGAATTCTGCGATGATACCATTGTTGACCATCTTTTTCCTTTGTTTTTCCTCCTTGGTGTCTGGTGCATTTGAATGCCCCACCCAGTCCAAAGCACCATGCAAGTGCACGAAAGATTCGGATGGCAATGTGACAGTTGATTGTTCGAATGCCAACCCTGATCAGATTTCCGCAGCACTAAGGACAAACTCATGGCCTTCCACTGTGCCCTGGTGAGTCGTGTTTCTCTCATAATAAAGTTATTCGAATCACTAACCATTAGGAGCCGATCAGTGAAATACCTCTGTGACAACCCCATCCCTAGTTCCCTCCCATTATTTAACTGCACATCTGATGCAGCTTCGGGGCCTCATTTGAAGGAAATATCGAGGTTCACGAAGCGCTTGAAATAAATTTCCAAGGTTCTCCTGAAAAAGAATAGAATATTAGTATGAAATTTTAATGCATACAATAGGGATGCTGGATTTAATAGCTAAATTGTTCCGAATCAAATATGACCTCCTTTCATTTAAATCAGCAATAATCGATAGACAGATGCTAAGTAATCTCTGCTGCCAGAAGATGCGTCAACTTCCAAATGATGAATCTTCTTGTTGACATTCGTAGTTTTGTAGATATAATGTGTCGATAATGAAACTAATATTTGGGTCATTACACGCCGAATCGCCCATAGCGTGAGCTTGACCATCTCGGATTTTGACTAAATCAGCATACACTTAGAGAAATCGATCTTAAAGAACTGATTTCAACGAATTTCTTTCGCACTGATCTCCAGATATGTCCATTTTATTGTACCTACTTTTGGCTCATGAGGCCCATACGGAATGGAATTTGTGAAACTGTTTCTGCAATGACTTTCCCTTTTGCTTAAGACTTAAGCTTCATTCTGGTGTCATGTTATTGGGCAATTGCCGTCATTAAATTGATTCTAGATCCTATTCTCTAAAGACGAAGCAAGATGTTCCACTTAATCAAAAATTTTGATTAAACTCAGATGCCAATATCTACACTTGCCACCTCGAGAATTCGAGGTGGCAAGAATATGCATAATATCTTGCTATATTTTTTGCAGGAAATAGTTATCAAAGGCCAGAGTCAGTGACGCAATCACAAAGGTATCAAGGTCTTTCCGGTATTTCTGCATGTCTTTCATGTACAGAAATTTTCTAACCCGAGGTCAATACGCATTCACAGCGTTTATCATATTCAATTCCGCAATAAATTCATTGACGGCTGTGACACCGAAGGCAGTGTCATGTTTTCGTACCATTCCACTTTTTTATGTCGATGGTAGGAAACGTACGTTATTTACCTGCGTCACTTTAATATTTTATGAAATCACTAACGGTCTAGGACGAATGAATATATGAAGGTGGATGAAAAGTAACGACCGATGATATTTTTCTTGCCACCTGTTTTCATGTAGTATCAAACAAACGTTCATTTGTCAATACAAACCTCTCTCATTATGGAACACTTACCCTGGAAAGACTTTTCTCGTGGTTACAAAACGTGGGAAATAAATGAACATTACTTTTTAATCCAACCTTTTGATAAGAAAATACCTAAATGTTTTTGGTAAGAATGAGACAGTTTCTACTAAGACTGTATTTTCACGAAATAGCCCCTACCACAGTCAGACTGGGGTCTAGACCATTTTGGTTGGCTTGACCCAGGTTGGGTCAAGGCTCGGCTCTAGTAAGCTTCTCTTTTCCCCACATTTTAGAGGTTACATAACCAATCCTATTTTTCCGTTCTTTAATATTTTTTCCCGAGCCATGTAGAAGTGCGTCTCATTAGTGACGGAAATGTTAATGATGACCGGAAGGTCATGGAGGGCAGGAACGTGCCACCATATATTGCGTCTACTATTTGGGCTTTTTTCGAAATTGTAGTGAATAATTAGTCACGTTTTTGGTTGATGGAGCGGCATAGGCGCAACCAAAGGCAAACAAACTCGTCACTTCAGTCCTAGACTTAGAAAAATAAAGAAAAACAGCATTTTAAAGAGATCAAACAGACTTCGAACCATTTATTCCCAACGAATCTTCCCCTTACGAACAAAATACTATGCAAAACTTTATAAATGATCCGGACAACAAGAGCAAACCTTTATTAGCAGTGCACACGGTATTACGAAGGCAACTCCATCAATGTGAACTCAGGATGATCAAAATTCATTTAAGTAACATACCATTATATCGAACGAACTGACTTATCTCCAAAAATCATCCAAAAATAGGAACAGTTACCAAGTAACGACATCTATATGCTATTTGCAAACCAAAACGACAGGAATTTTGGTCTCTGAAGGGGTCACGCATAATGTTCATTTTCATAATTATCAGCCCTTTAATGAAATTTAAACATGAATATGACTCTGTGGGTCGATAGAGAAGAATACCTACAATACTTGTAACCACTCAGAACTAAACCAACTTTGAGATCTAAATGTTGAGTTGTAAACAAGAAGATTAGGATTTGAATCTATCACGTCAATCCCAGCCTTCAAGAGCAACAGCCTGGAAGAACTGGAACTATATCACAATAAAATTACGAATGTGGAGTTCGACAAATGGAAAACTCCCAATTTGAGAAAACTCTCCCTTTCTGCCAATTTCTTGATATCAGTCCCTGCGATCAAGAGCGACAGCCTAGAACTCTACCTCCATGGTAATAAAATAACGCATGTGAAGTTCGACAGATTGGAAATTCCCAAATTGAGGAAACTAACCCTAGCGGAAAATTTACTGACATCGGTCCCCGCCATAAATAGCGACAGCTTGGAAGAACTCGACCTCGGTGGAAATAATATCACGAATTTGGAGATGGACGGAAGCGGAACTCCTAAATTAAGGAAACTCTTGCTCTGGGGAAATTCCTTGACCTCATTCACAGAATTCAAGAGCGATAGTCTGGAGGAAATCAACCTCTCTGACAATCAAATCACGAATGTGGATTTCGACAATTGGGCAACTCCCAAATTGCGGGAACTCTTCCTTTCCAGCAATTCCTTGACCTCAGTCCCAGCATTCGAAATGGACAGTCTGGAAAAACTCATTCTCGATTTTAATAAAATCATGAATGTGGAGACCGACAGATGGGCAGCTCCCAAATTGAAGGTTATCTCCTTCAACGGGAATTTGCTGACGACAGTCCCAACATTCAAGAGCGACAGTCTGGAAGAACTCGGCCTCAGTTGGAATAAAATCACGAACGTGGAGTTGGACAGATGGGAAACTCCAAAATTGAGGGTTATCTCATTCAACAGGAATTTGCTGACCAAAGTCCCAGGCTTCAAGAGCGACAGTCTCGAAGAACTCTACCTCGATGACAATAAAATCACGGATGTGGAAACCGACGAATGGGCAACTCCCAAATTGGGGATACTCTCTCTTGCCGGGAATTATTTGACGTCAGTCCCTGCCTTCAAGAACGACAGCCTGCTTGATAGCTTTCTGGATTCCACGTTAAATGAAAGCAAAAGTAAGTATAGATTATTTGCATTTCTTCGTTAATCTGTAATGCAATCAATTCCATTATTTCACAATTTTCCTTTGATTTTTCCGTCAATTTCTAGCTTCCATACTTCACCGAAGAAGGAAATATCCTAGTTTGTTTTGAATATGAATAATCACCCCTTCAAAACATGAAACTAAAGCAAATACTACTACAAAGCTTCTGCTTCTTTCTATTGTGAACGCTTCCCAACAACTTTATTTACTGATCTGAACTCAGAGCATCCCCTCTCTCTCCCTCTATCCCCACATCCATATTTTACTTTTCTTTAATTAGAAGAGGGCAGGAAGTATTCAAGTAATAAACGCTGAGGAAAAATCTCTGTATTGAACTGAAAATCTTTCATAGAATAACAAAATCCGAAAAAATTAAGAACTTCGAAGTTCATATTTCCGAAGTCGGAAAAGTGATAATTCAGCGTCTCCGCGCATAACTGTTCTTCACGTAAGACTGGATGAACATATCGGGTGGCCCAAAAAATTGTTACAATCTTCGTGCGGCTGCAGACGGGACACCATGCTCAGCATCGTCTTGAAATTTACAGTGTGCCATAACCAATAAATGTAGGTGGCTTTAGAAACACTTCAATGAAATTCCTTTCTCTGAGCATGACTAAGCTCTTGCCGTACAAGTCGTCGAATGAGCAAGTGTGTCAGTGTGTTTTCTGGCGTTCTGCTTCGGCCCGCGATCTGAGGAGGACACATCAAGCAGCTCTTTCATTGAGTTCAGGCACGTTCCTTTAACAACTCGCTCTTTTGATATCGCACGAGAGAAAAATTGTTATTCACAAAGTTTACAACTAATTTCAATTCAATTTTGTTTCATTACCTGCTAACATTACATGTAGAAGCCAGTGAATTTCATGTCGATAAGCCATATGGTACACCGTCTGCAGGCGTGTAAAGTTCGGAACGTTTTTTTGGGCCACCCGTTATTTCAGTTTCAAGTTGAAGCAAAGTATTGTCCACCGCAATTTCAGGTTTTTGGGCCAACACGAGAGTTTCCCTTCGAAGTAACCAGATCGTTACAGTTGATGGGAGGATCCTTTACCGAATCTTAAAGGAATTCTCCAAGGGAGAATGCTCTCTGGACCTGTTAGGTGAGTGTCAGAGCTCTCTCTCCCCATCTCCTGCTTTTTAATTTTTTTTTCTTGCACCTTGGTCCAATTCTTTTCCAGGCAATCCCATCCATTGTTACTGTGGATTAGTATGGCTTGCATTTTCTCCTGAATTGATGGGAAAAGTATTTGTGAAATGTGGAAATGGGACCCATTTGAAAGACCTGACGGAATCACTGAAAAACTGTCACAGCGCGCCACTTACATGCCCAAGCCGTCCTCAGTGTCCCAACGGCGTAGGAGGTCTACAATGCTTTGACTCGCAACTCACTTTCTTGTGCGATGAAGGTACTGTCAATACTTCCTATGCCTGTCCTGAGGAGGCGCAAGTCTGCTGCATCAGCTCCGTCGCATCAGCTACACCTCGCCATGGAAGTGTAAGTCCATATTACACGTATGCATAGTATGTAATAATACCATCACAAGTTCTGCAGGGGAAAACATTAAAGAATCGGAGGAATATTATTTCCGATTGAAGGCAGAGGTGACCGGCTGTGGACCACTTCTAGGCATCAGACACGGACACTTCAATATCCTTTCTTGCTCGAATGATTGGCTGAGGTAGGATTATCCAACCATGCTCTACTTTTCTTTGAGGGACGGGACGGAAACTTGGAAGGAACTTTCTCCACTTCTTTATAAATTTACATATATGAGTGTTTTCTCATAATCATGCTTATGATGATCACTAGGAACTGAAATGTGTCTTTCATGCAATGCAAGATGAAACTTCGTTATTCCTAGAATACAATTTTTCACAATATGCAATGGTGCCTGTTAAAAGACAATTGAGCTCGTTTCATGTGGGATGGGAACTATTTTTCTTATAATATCGGAGCTTTAGTTCTGGCTGCACACAAAAACTCATTTCTTCAGTTCCAAAAATGAAACAGAATGCATTCAAGGTGGGAAATACCTCATTGGGAGCCAAGTGAAGTACACTTGTGCGGAGTATTATATCCTAAGGGGCCCACGTGTTCGGACTTGCGGAGCGAAGGAAAAATGGTCAGGACCTCATCCCTTCTGTGAACCTGGTCCGTCTTGAACAAAATATTTTTTTCGCTAGTCAATATTGAAAAATTGTTTTAATGAATTCCTTGGTGTATTATCTCCATTTTAGAATCCGGGACAATGAAATATGCTCCTGGATCACCTACGGCATTAATTAAAGGCGAGAAAGCTGCGCCTGGATCGTGGCCCTGGCAAGCGGCCATCTATGATAAACAAAAAAAGGGAATCGTATGCGGAGCCGCTCTCATTGGAGAAGGATGGGTTCTCACGGCAGCACATTGCGTCATGCAAGAGAATAACAACAACTTCACAGTTCGAGATATTAACGATTTCATCATCTATCTCGGCAACCCCAATCAAGATGAGTCAAGAAACGATGGATCAGTCCAGAAAAAAGAGGTGCAAGTTCCCACTGATTTTCTCTCTCCTTCATTTTCAATATGAAATGAAGAACAACCANTTCGGTTGGGATGCCTCCCAACCCATTCCGATCTGACGGAGGTTCATCTACAAGGAGGAAATCAAGGATGGGTGAGCCACGATGGTTCAAATCACATCCTTCCCTTTTAGTTCAAAGGTAGAATTTCATTGGTTTTGTGTCAGGTGGCAGGTTGGGGTCAGGACGCCTCAAATAAAGAAACGCATCTTTGGAGACATAGAACTCCTTGTCATATCCAATAAAAATTGTCTCAATGATACCTCTTTTGTCGCAAGAGGCCCTTCTACAACCATCACTGACAACATGTTCTGCGCATACAACAGTATTGCCTTGGGGAATGGGAGGAGAGGCATGAAGGAACATAATTTCGATTATTAATTCCTTTTGCAGAACTTCAATTCTTTGTGGAAATCTATCTGCGATGCGAACCAGTGTTAATCTGACGTAATCTTTTAACTCATTTATGCAATGTAGGAAAAAGTCCTGAATTTCATTATTGTCCCAATTAGACGCAAATCTTTATTGCCAAAACTTCCAGGAATTGTTTGCTAGAAGGGCAAGAAAACTCACTAGTTAATGTAGAGCGTCTATAATGTTTTCGACATCATGAAACCTAATAAATAAAGGTGACCTCTTTTTTCGTCATCTAGAGAAAACGACGGTGTGTCCTGAGGATTCGGGAGGTCCAATGGTTTTTGCCTCGCAGCATGGCGTGAGGCGTCAGTGGTTCGTAGAAGGAATTGTCAGTCACATCTACACTGATTCCACGCAGGATTGCTCCAATTTTCACTCCGGACATTATGGTGTATTCACTAAAGTCAATAAGTGAGACATATCTCATTTTCATTCCCTTCCACTTCTTTTGCCAAGGTGTTTCGGATAGATAAAATATTGGAAAGGATAAAAAAGGCAATTTTTTCTTCACGAATAATTATATTTATTTTCATTCGCTTTTTAGGCTTTTTCATGGCTATGTGACCCATTGATGTTGTAATCGATTTCGATAAGGTGCATTGACTGGATCGAGGAGAGCATGTCGAAGAACTCAGAATGAAGATCCAAATTGCCCTGATCCTCATTCCTGCTCCAATTTTTCAGGTGAATAAAATTTTTTTTGCAGTATGGTTCTTTCTCATAATCAGATGTGGAGAAAAGAATTCCAGAGAAGACGAGGGAAGTCAGGTACAGCTATCCAGTAAATATCGATAGCAAAATCCGGAAAATATTAATGTTGCAGCTTCGCTGATGTTATGAATATTTATTGGATGCATCCGGAAAGGATCTTTAACCAAAACTGCCATTAAATCCGAGAGCATGCCACACCAGCATCTTTGCGCCTTATTAGTTGAGTTGAATATTCATTACCCAGACTAAAAAAAGTACTCCTTCAATTCAGATAAGTGTTACTGTCGAGGAGTGGGGAAGGGAAATAATTTTCATTTCGACTGCAGCTTATAGTCGTCATCGTCTGGGTTCTCTCTCCGGCTGACCAAAGTTGCAAGAAACTTCACAGCAAATGTTGAGTAAGAGTTGAAGGGGGGCACTGCCTATAGATATCTAAACAAGGAATGCTAAAGCAGCAATTTAATTAAGTTTAAAGTCATCCTCAATCGGCGCAAAAGTGGCCATGAGGCCAAAGACAAACAGATTTTTCGAAAGAGAATAATTTGAAAGAATTTCCATTCAATTTCTCCATGAACTCATTTTTCCATTTCATATCAATGATAATGATTTTGTGGGGTCATCCTACTTTCATATGTTACATCAAATTATTACAAAATTTAAACAAAGGCTACATGTCAGACTTTCATTATCACAGAATGAGCAAGAGCTCACGACGATAATTATTTCAGCACTTGCAAACAACATATCAATATTCTATGGCAATTTAGTTTCTGAATGGTTTGGCATGTCTGCCGTCTGTTCAAATGGAATATGTCATAAATTATCGCTAAATATTTATCTTACCTTTTTTTTTTCCTTGAAAAATGTATGTTTATATTCTCCATCTAACCTTCCAGGTTAGATGGAGAATATAAACGACTATCTGGGAGAAGTGACTCATCATGAATACAGCTTCATCTGCTCATCTTCATCTTCATCAGCTTATGAACGTCTTATGAAAACAATTTCAATATTTTATCTTTTTTGACAAGGAAATTCAAACCAACCTTCTATCCTCCAGGAACTCATTTAATTTTTGTTGTTCGTCTTCGTTACAGGCTTTTCATCAAGCAAATGTGTTGCACGTGAGGTTCCCAAGACTTCTTCACCTCTTCCAATCTGTACTGCAGAGCGGGCCATAAATATTCATACCGAATCGAATTCTTGTATTTCTTGTTCTAAGAACTTCTCATGGAATCAACTGCAGCTTCATGCACAGGAACTCATGGTCAATATTCACAAAATATATTCGATGGGTCCCATGTTCTTCTTGACAGCAACCTGCAACCTTTGAATCTGCCTGTCGATTGTATTGGACGAACGTGCTGTCGCTCCACTTTGGGCAAGGATCTTACGTGGTTCAGTTCGCGGATTTCGTTCAGGAGCACTGGCTTCGAGCAGAACTTGCATACATTACGAACAGAGGACATTATACGTGGGTTATTCGTATTTGTTAATTATTCTGGTTATGATCAATCAGGCAATTTTTGTGAACTTCAAGCCATTTTGGACAGAGGAGAATCCATTTTATAACAGCCAAGGTTGCCCATCAAAGAGACACTCACATAGAGGTCCAACATATTTTTTCGTCACTGTTTAAGGCGTATACAAATGAAAAATAAATAGCTGCAGGTGATAAAAATATTTATGGCCCGACCTGTACATGTTCAGTACTATGATTATTCTGTTATAATAAGTTTGGCATTCATTTACGAAGATAAAGGCTCTGTATTTCATTATTCATGTACATGCTAAAATGCTAATTAAGCAAGATGGTTCTTAAGAGGAAATGCCTGCTTGGGTCAGTCATGTGAATGAAATTCGCAAATTGTCTGGCGGCATAATATGATTTGCTCCACCTGAAAATGGATGCTTAATTCAATCACCCCTAAACAATTCAGTACGTTCTTATCGAAACTTCGCTTCTCGTTCTAACCGTAAGGTATAAACTCGTTTGATTCTATGGGAGAAACGACCAGACAATTTACGCACGGATCACTACTTCCGTCAGTTTCAGGTATCTTCGTCATCGACATACTTTCTGCGGCGATGTCCCTGAAGAGACAGGGAATTGAGGGTAGAGAAACCAGGAACTATGAGTCAAGTGCACTCCCTCAGGGGTATTAGTAATTTCAGGGCTTTCCCATCCAGATCTGCATGGCCGCTCTACAGCTGTAAATTTCCTATGAAATACTCTCGACTCGGAACTTCTCGAATGACCCAAATCATGTTTCAAAAGCCAAATCCTGGCATGGGAGCGAGATTTCCAGGAAAATTAACATGCCGGAAATATTTCTCTCTTTATCGAAAGTACTTGTCAGGCGCGCTCTTGCACTTCCACGGTTACATCCCAGATTATAATGGAGACTGGCATGGGTATCTCTCTCGTGTTCTTATGAACACTTGGAAAATAAGAAACATAGCTAACCTGAAAGAAGGAATGAAATAAATGCAGTTAACTAAAGGATTGCAGCGCTTTAAAAATATGCAGCCATCGAAACCCTGATGAAATTATAGGAAAGCATAATGGTTTTTTTAAAGGAATAACTTCAAGTAGCACCACAAAAGAAGAGTTGAATGAGTTCTCTGATAAATTGAGGTTTATCTCCCTTCCTAAAAGTTTTTGAGAGGTCAAAGTTAAACTCCTTACGAATATTTTAATTTTGGGGTCATTCTACGTCCTATCGACCAGCGAGTGAGCTCGACCATCTCGGATTTTTACGAAAATCGGCATACACGTAGAGAAATTGATTTAAAGAAACTAATTTAAACCAATTTTTTATCACTCGCACAGGGGCCGTATTCACGAAAACTTCGCAATAATTATATATTCTTATTCGTAAGAATAAGAATATCTCATTCTTCAGATACGATGTTCGTACGAACTTCGTATCTTAAGTATTCACGAAACTTCTTAGCTATGATAATGAGCCGACCAATCATAGCTGATACCAGGAGCTAGCAATCACAGAGTGGAGAGCAACGTGCTAATCACGCTGGCAGCATGACTCCCTAACAATGTCCATAGTCCCAAAGGCCTTCTGCAAACTTTCTGCGCCTACTGTGACAGTTTTTGCCCTTATAGGAGGTTTTGACATAATTGGAGGTTCTGCCAAGTCTTTGGAAAAAAAAATCCCATAGGACCGTACCATTAAATCTTCTCGCAAACTACCTCAAGGTTTCAGAAATGCCAAAGGAAGCGTTGAGGGCACAGTATCAAAGTTGGAATCATGGAGAGCGGTTGCAGTTGCACGATATGAGATTGCCGTTCACGCGTTCTGACTCGGATGACCGCAGGCGCTACGACTCTTCCGCTGGTCCCAGTGAGTGCGCATTCGGCAGTGAAGACGGAAATGTTCCGCGCAGTGCTTAGATGTCGCAGTGCATCCGAAGCACCGTCGGACGTGCATCGACAAAAACAGCCGTCACATTCACTCTATATGGTGCTCATGCGACCTGTTTCCTAACGGCGATCCCGGTTGAACCGTTGCTTCTCCGCATGACCAATACGCTACCGCGCGCAACAACACAGTCACTCCGCTGCAGTTGTACGCGCATGGAATAGCCGTGCGCAGGGGTGTGTTCAATTCGTTACGTAGGGCAGGAGAACTGTTTCAACGATACTATGTGCACGGGTATGTCTTTGCTGAATCCAACCGATTGGAGTCCATCAGATGAAATTTAAAAAACCGCTTCAGAT